TCGGTTAAAAATGCGGGAATCGGGTGTGTTACTCTTGTGTTATTATCTACTCTTGCGTTCATGTAATGACGCCAAACTACGGTCATTCGGTTAGCGGTGTGCATCGCCATTTCACGATGCACACTCCAACTCTATAAGTGGCCCATTATTTGATTAATACCGGCATAAGGATAGTTTTACGGCCTCAGACGACGTGCAGCGTGTCGACCGCTAGCACTAGTCTTGCTAATCGGGAGAAATAATCGTGTTACCTTGTTCGTAAAGCGCACTATAATTAAGACGCGCTCCATCTAAACGCATGTATTTCTCAGACGCCGTTTAAAGCGGCCTACTTGTAACTCTGTTTATTCCGCGGCTTATACGTGACCGCGCTCTACAAATTGTCTCACGCCGCTATGGCAATTACCGGCCAGTCATTGTCACATACTGTCCCGGCTATGACACGGTGCCACGTGTTACGCCCACACTTAACATTGTCATGGACCACGCAAACAACGGTCAAGACGAGGAACGGCAGCTACCTACGCTGTTGTTTCCGCCGCCGACCTGCGCCTGCGCCAACATTTGCGCCCGTGACACCTGCGCAAGCGCCGCCAGCAGGGGCCTGCGCCACCTGCGCCTACGCCAGCGTCACCTGCCTGCACCTGCGCCTCATGCGCCAGCGTCGCCGCAACCTATGTCTGCGTCGTCTGTGCTGCGGGGCGAGGGGAGCATATGCTACCCACTCCGCCGCAGGCACGCTCCACCGGCACAGCGATGCCCGACCTCTCTTCCCCGGAGCCTGACGAAGACGACGACTCCTGGGAGGATGGGTGGCCATGCAGGCCGTGCCCAGAGGCGGAGATCGTCGGACAGTTCAGCGGGTCAGGACCATTACAACACGAATTCCAGGTTGAGGAGTGCAACTCCTCCTCAGACTTCAACCCCGAACACATAGCCGCCATGGCCCAAGGGTTGGCCACGACGGCCATCTTGTCTGCCGCGACGGCCATCTGGTCCGCCATGACGACACAATCAGCCCCCTCCCCCGACGCATCCGATGAGGAAGTCGACCACTGACATCAACCGAGCTTCACGTCGCTTCACTTAGCAGCCACAGAACCGCGAATATCCCCTAGTAGTTTTGTACGGTGTGCGGCCGCATGGTCGAGGCCCACACCAGTAGACAATAATGTAACATTATTATGTATTATGTATTATGTATTTATTGTATTGATGGTAGCTATGTCGCTATCTAAAAGAGCATGTGAACAAATTCGGCTATACAATTACCATGACGCGTAAGGCCAGCCAGGAGACTGGCATTCGATGTCCACTTTTGTGAACATCGGTTTAGTGGGGGGAGAAGTGTAATGCCACAAAGCGTTACAGGCCAATAGAGCTACTAATTCCCCCACCACCGACGCAATACGGAGGAGTGTAGCGGCTAGATATCACTAGACATCACTAGATATCACTAGCCGCTACGACTCGTTTATAGGTCACACAGCACTTAGCTAGACTCGGTTATAGGTCACACGAAGACGGCATCAGCTAGTTAGCAGTAGCCGCATCCGCGTCAACAAGTCCATTAGAAATCACTTAGAAATAGATTAGGGCCACTTAGAGACCGATTACAGCTCTGAGATGCGCCCTGCCCATTAGGGGTCACTTAGGAGCGCCGCATCGGCGTCTCACCCATTAGAGGTCAATTAGAAACAGATTAGAGTCACTTAGAAACAAATTAGACAATAACATCTATAGTGACTCAAGTAGTCCTCTTGGTCGAAAACAACTCAACGCCCACGCGAATCGGTGTAGCACGTGCGTAGGGCGTGTATGACGCCCTCGCGAATGTGTACGGCGTGTGCGCGAGGCGTGAGCAACGCCTTTGCGAGTACGTACAACGCATGTCTCAGTCTACGGCGCATGCGTCACGCATGCGCTGCGGGCGTGCCTGTGAGTATAAAAGCCGGAACGCGGGCCGAGACGAGAGATTAGGCTGCTCCTCGTCTGAACGTAGGTGTCAGACGAGGAGGGGGAATTAGACAGCTCCTCGTCCAAACGTAAGGGTCGGACGAGGAGGAGATTAGACAGCTCCTCGTCTGAACGCGGGTGTCAGACGAGGAGGAGAAGGGAATCTCCCGTCGACTGATGTTGCTGCTGCAGCTGCTGCTGCTGCTGCGACAACAGAACTGGTGCCCCTTGTCCAAATGTAAGGGTCGGACGAGGAGGAGATAGAGGAGGCTCTCGACAACCAGAAGCGACTGTGACTACATTTTGTTACACTGTAGCTGTTCTGATCTTCAATTAAAATACGAATCATGGTAAACATCTGACTTCCATTCTCATCTATATTCTTTGTCTATTCTCATCTATGTGCTTTGGCTTCACATACATTCTACTCAATAACCTAACACAGAGTAACGTTAAAACATCTGCGTTACAGCTGTTCTGTGATTTGCGACTTCGCATAAAAACTTGCAACTCGCCTGCTCGCAGTTACCTTGACGGTCACCGTGAGAAAAACGACATGCGGTGCCTGTCGCGATTGCGTGCCTTCCTGTGTGTGCGTACACGGGATAAATATACGTCTTTATGTGTACGTGTAGCGTCTACATACACGCGTATCACTATGCGCGCATCTTCCATGTCTGTGCATGTGCAGGTGCGTGCGGGCGTGCGTGTACGCCTACATGCAAGCGTCCGCGTGCACGTGCCTGCGAGCGTGCATATGCGCGTGCGTCCAGGCGTCCACGTGCGTGCATACGTTTAGGTGCTTTGTGTGGATATGTTTGTAATCGCACAGTTCGCTGTATACGCTCATGCGTGCGCACACATTGTAATGATTATGCCCGCACGCAAGCACGCACAGACGGACGCACGTACGCACGCTCGTACCTACTTATACAGGCAGCCAAGTACGCAAGCACATAGCTAGCTGTAGTACTACGAAGCACACAAATACGCACACACGTGCGTATACATGTATGAATGCACGCAGTCACACACCGACGCACGTACGTACGCACGCAGGCCGGCTCAGACATTTGTATGGGTGCATGTATGTGTTTGTATGTGTGTGTGCGTCGCTCAGTGCGTGCGTCAGTGTGTTTAAAATGTTCATTAGGAACAATTTTTTAGAAGTCACAAAAATCCGTTTCCTCAACAAAATTATGTTTTAGCCTGGCCAGAAGTATGTCATCTAACACGCACAATTCACAGATAATATCAAGAGCTATTGACCTATGGTCAACATTTCTATTTGCATGAATAGAGGCGTATTATTTCCGCATGTATTATTTATAAAACCCAGCTTATGTATCCGCTGCAGCTGCCGCTCGTTACAGAAGCCGCTGACGCATAATAAAATACAATTCATACTAAAACTTATACAACACAGTGTAGAAGTAGGTGTTGACACTTTTATTGATATTTTCATTGAACTTGCAAAGACAGCAGCTCAATGCAGCTGAGCTCTTTCATTGTATTCCCGGTAAAATTCGCGACTGTTCGCTGGCAGCTATGGATCCGTGCGCCAGCCTATGCATTCGGCGCACGGATCCATAGCTGCCAGCGCTGCATACTGCCGTAGGACGGTCCCACGGTCGCGTGCGCCTTGCCGCAGAACTGCGCACAAGATCTGCGCTCAGCGCTTCGGATCAACACCTCCTTTCGGAAACGCTTCTCTAGTATCCCGTCTCATCTGGGTTATTGGGCTACGATTTCTATGGCTGCTATATTATTGAAATACGTACATCGAAGTGTAGGATGGGAATTTTGTTCTGTATAGGTACTGTAATTATATTAATTCCACTCTACGTTAAATACGTTTTAAAGTATTATAATACATTTAATAATGCATTTTACGGTTACACACAACATACAATGTGCGCATATGAATTATTTCTACCGATAGATGGCGCGACGATGTCATATTTGACGTGACAAAGATATCCCCTCTGCCCGCGCCAGGGGCCCGTTCTCAGAAAAAAATTAGTCTTAACATTAACTTTAACATTAACTTTAGACTTAAAATTAATCGTAACTTTACGAAGTTTCTGACAACAGGCCCCTGGTGTTTGCAATGAGTCTACGTTCGCTCTGTTCCCTAAGCACATACTGGAAGTAGTTTATTTTTTGCTGATTACGTGCCTGCTTTAGACTATTCCGTCTCACAGACGGGCTGAAGCAGTCACGGTGTAGTTATTTGTAGGGTTTAGGAGGCCAGGGACACGGTGACAATTAGAATTATTATCCGGCACGGCATGCCCTTCGCCCATAAAACTGAGGGTGTTCATTGCGTTATGCTTTACTAACTCAGCGGTTCATTTACGTACCAAGCAATATCAGGCGAGAGAACATGACTGTGGGCACAGGCACTTGGACCGTTTCAATAATAAAATGATGGTTAATAAATATTAAATACAACTTGTCAGTACTACTACTAGCGCTACCAGTACCAGTAATAGTCTTAATGTTTGATTTGACCTAATAACTTCACTTCAACACCGTCCAATACACCGCTGCAACACATAGCGCGCACGCCCTTGTGCATGCACAAATACACAGTAATACAGAGTTTATATAGATATAGAGTGATATAGTCTATATCACTGTGTATTTGTGCATGCACAAGGGCGTGCGCGCTATGTGTTGCAGCGGTGTATTGGACGGTGTTGAAGTGAAGTTATTAGGTCACATCAAACATTAAGACTATTACTGGTACTGGTAGGGCTAGTAAAAGTTGTATTTATTAACCATCATTTTATTATTGAAACGGTCCAAGTGCCTGTGACTGTGGGTGTGACAGTACATGGAGATGGAACTACAGTTCTCTAAATCAGTGATAGCTTTCATTTTTGAACAGAATAAATAATTTCAACATGTATTTTGTAGAAATTTGCGTGGCTACTATACGTTCGAATATAAAAAGAACAGAAAATGCAAGGACACCATTTTTTAATGCCGAATAAAAATTACAGGTTAAGAGAGACAACAACTACACTCAGTTGTAATATATTTAAATCGAAAGCCAAGAAAGCTTTTCATAATAAAAACATAATTTATCAATAAATGCTGCCTTTCACTAAGTTTGCTTAGCACAACAAGACGGGACCCATACAAAGAAAGATATACAATACATGAACTGAAAACCTATATCCACCAAACATCTCAGTATCTCGTTGTTTCGTGCCGCCACCTACTGGATACAACTTATAATATATGAGATGAAATGACACGCATCAAACAAGAACTAGCCCCTATTGGTATTTGTTGTATTGTCCACTCAAACTTTATACATGAACCAGTACAAAGAATAACCCTCAGTAAACACTGCATAATGGTATTAACTGACCGATACACACACGCACACGCACACGCGCATGTACACGCACACGCGCGTGTACACGCACACTTTCTATAAACGCCTTCACTATACGCACGGACACACTCACAAGGACAAACCCCTTCGTGTGGTCAGGACGATGGCACATACTGCATTTCAGTTCTTGCGTAAGTGTCTTCACTAACTCCCTGTGAATTTGCTTCCGGTTAAACGATTGTTCATACGCTAAGAACCCAGTAACTCACTCCTACTGTACGCTTGCACCGAGCTCTTTGCGATGCAGCGTGATCCACTAAGGCGCATGCGCGAAATAAGCGCCTTGATTGGTAGGCGCGCGAGGTTCAGTCCTTTGAATAGGAGACCTTTTTTTAACCACCACGTGGCAGCCTTCTTACCGTGCGTCGACAAAATTTCCTCCCAGCATGCTTTGTGTAAAGGCGCAGGCCACATGTACTCGCGATGTACATGGAGTGCATACTTAGACACGCTATGGCCCGATTGTTCCTCGGCATGGGATGCGCATAGAACTGTGCTTACGGTCGAACGTCACGTTTCACGACAATTGCGTCAGGGACGTTGGTTGACAGGGGCCTCTTTCGATCGCCTCCACGGACAGCGCCGTCGACCAAGGCCAGCAGGTGATGTGGTTGGACACCGGCTTCTTTCGTCGCTTCCCCACGACAGTCCCGCTCGACCTATGGTCAGGGAACGCTGTCGCACAGGGGCCTCTTTTGTCGATGCCCCCCCGCTTGACACGCATACAGCCAGTGCTGGCCTAGAATGCGCAAGCACTGATAGCGCTGTGATGCAGTGACGAGTTATTGCCACTCACGCAATATTGCTTGGACTGCGCTATAAGAGAAATGTATACACGACGTTCATCAAGGATGTAGATATGAACACCAGAGTAAACGAACCCGATTCCGCATTTTTACCGTTTTTCTCATCAAAATTTGACACCATAAAGAAGCAAGTGTTATACGTTTCCTCAGCTTATTATGACACTATCACTCACCTTTGTTTGGTACTGATATTCGGTTACATTTATTTGACAGCGTATTGTGTTTAAATCGTAATCTTGCACAGAGCTGAATTCGCACGATTTACCGATTTCTTGTTGACGCACCTGTTAGCCATTTTTAGAAGCTATCGTGGGCGCCCAATAGTTTAGCAACGGACGTTTCCAAATCATTCGTGTCCCGATAGGGCTTGAAGACATCTAAATTGAAGTTGGATCTCGTGAGAAACGGCGAGATCGCGCTCAGTTATTGTGATCGTCCAACACAAGAAATTGACATACTATCTTACAGTTAAGTAATAATACAATAATAGCAATTTCTCTGTAGTAGTTTGACCGTAAGTTCCCATTTACGCGCCCCACTGCGCAAGTTTAATGCAAGTACATTAAACCCCTATTGGGGCCGAATGATTTTGGAAACGTCCGTTGCTACAGATTGTTGCGCCGATAGCTTCTAAATTATGGCTAAACAGTTCGCCAAAGTAGCCATTTTAGCCGGTGATAATTGTGGCAATTCAGTCGTGCAAGATTACGATTATCAGCAATAATTGATAAGCCAAATAATGTAAACGAATATCGAATACACGAATGGAGTGATTTAGTGCGTCATAATAGCTGGGACGTTACCACTTGCGCTTCTTGTATGGTGGAAAATTTTGATGAGAAAAATCGTGTTAAAAATGCGGGAATCGGCGTGTGGTTACTCTTGTGTTATTATCTACTCTTGCGTTCATGTAATGACGCCAAACTACGCAGTCATTGGTTAGCGGTGTGCATCGCCATTTCACGATGCACACTCCTACTTTATAAGTGGCCCATTATTTATTATACGGCATAAGGATAGTTTTACGGCTCAGACGACGTGCAGCGTGTCGACGCTGTCACTAAGTCTTGGACTACTCGGGAGAATATGTTTACTCTTGTTTGTAAAGCGCCTATATTAAGACGCGCTCCATTCTACGCATGTTATCTCAGATCGCCCGTTTAAAGCGGCCTACTTGTGAACTCTGTTTTTCCGCGTGCTTATACAGTGACCGCGCTCTACATAATTTGTCTCACGACGCTATTGGCAATACCGGCAAGTCATTTGTCACATACTGTCCTGCTATGAACCGGTGCCACGTGTTACGCCCCACTTAAATTGTTCAGTTGGACCACACAACACGGTCAGATGACGAACGGCAGCTACCTACGCTTGTTGATTCCGCCGCGACCTGAGCTCTGCGCTACATGTTTGGCGCCGTGACACCTGCGCAAGCGCGCCAGCAGGGCCCTGCGTCACCTGCCGCCTCGCCGCGTCAACTGCCTGACACCTGACGCCTCATGCCGCCATGCTGTGCGCAGACCTATGTCTGCGTCGTCTGTTGCTGCGGGGGCGAGTGGAGCAATGCTACCCACTCCGCCGCAGGCACGCTCCACCGCACAGCTGATGTTCCCGACTCTCTATATCCCGGAGCCTGACGAAGACGACGACTCCTGGGAGGATGGGTGCATGCAGGCGTGCCAGAGGCGGAGAATCGTCGCACAGCTTCAGCGGGTCAGGACCATTGACCACGAATTCCAGGTTCGAGCGCAGTGCAAGCTCCTCCTCAGACTTGCAACCCGACATCATAGCCGCCATTGGCCAAAAAAATAAAAAAAAAAAAAAAAAAAAAAAAACAAACAAAAAAAACGATACAAGATAAAAAAAGGTTGGCCCGACGGCCATTCATTGTCTGACCGCGACGGCCATCTGGTCGCCATGCGACACATCAGCCCATCCCCCGACGATTCGATGGGAAATTCGACAGCTGACATCTACGAGTATACACGTCGCGCTCACTGTAGCAGCCACAGAACCGCGATGATCCCATAGTAGTTTTGTTATCTCTGGTTGTGTTCTCCGTATGCTATGAGCCCACACCAGTATTATACATTATTATGTGATATGTATTATGTATTTATTGTATTGATGCGTAGCTATGTCGCTATTAAAGCGAGTGTTGGTAACAAATTCGGTATACAATACTGCCGCGTAAGAGGCAGCCAGGGACTGTCATTTTGTTGTTCCTGATTTTGGTGTGGTATTATTTTCGGAGTTCTTTATTTGTTGTTGTTTTGTTGGTTTTTATTTAGTTTTTTATATGCGCTATCTATATATTTTTTTTTCTGTTTTTTTGCTCATATTGTTTTTCTTTTTATTTTCCTCCATTCTCCTATAATTTTCTTTTGGGTGTTTAGTCGTGTTTGTCTTAGATTTTTCTGGACTTTTATTCATTTTATTATTGTCATCTTGTCTCTGCGTTTTTATCTTGTTTACTCTTTGTTTTTTTATTTTAGTTTATATCTTTCATGTCTATTTGTACTTTATTAGTGTTCTATATCGTAAGTATCCCATCTGTAGTTGCTTTCGCATCCGCGTCAACAAGCCATTAGAAATAACTTAGAAATAGATTAGGGCACTTAGAGACGATTACAGCTCTGAGATGCGCCCTGCCATTATGGGTCACTTAGGAGCGCCGCATCGGCGTCTCACCGCTTAGAGGGTCAATAGAAACAGATTAGAGTCACTTAGAAACAAATTAGACAATAATCTTAGTGACTCAAGTAGTCTCTTGGTCGAAAACAACTCGCCCACGCGAATCGGTGTAGCACGTGCGTAGGGCGTGTATGACGCCCTCGCGAATGTGTACGGCGTGTGGGCGAGGCGTGAGCAACGACTTTGCGGCAGTACGTACAACGCATGTCTCAGTCTACGGCGCATGCGTCACGCATGCGCTGGGCGTGCCTGTGAGTATAAAAGCCGGAAACGCGGGCCGAGACAGAGATTAGGCTGCTCCTCGTCTGAACGTAAGGTGTCAGACGAGGAGGGGAATTAGACAGCTCCTCGTCCAACTAAGGGTCGACGAGAGAGGAGATTAGAACAGCTCCTCGTCTGAACGCGGGTGTCAGACGAGGAGTGAGAAGGAAATCTCCCGTCGACTGATGTTGCTGCTGCAGCTGCTGCTGCTGCTGCGACCACAGACTGGTGCCCCTTGTCCAAATGTAAGGGTCGGGACGAGGAGGAGATAGAAGGAGGCTCTCGAAACAAAGCGACTGTGACTACATTTTGTTACACCTGTAGCTGTTCTGATCTTCAATTAAAATACGAATCATGTAAACATCTGACTTCCATTCTCATCATATTTTCTTTTGTCTATTTATCTATGTGCTTGGCTTCACATAATTTCTACTCAATACCTAACACAGAGTAACGTTAAAAACATCTGGTTACAGTGTTCTTGTGATTGCGACTTCGCAGAAAAAACTTGCAATCTCGCCTGCTCGCAGTTACCTTGACGGTCACGCGTGAGAAAAACGACATGCGGTGCCTGTCGCGATTGCGTGCCTCCTGTGTGTGGCGTACCGGGATAAATATACGTCTTTATGTGTAGTGTAGCGTCTACATACACGCGTATCACTATGCGCGCATCTTCCATGTCTGTGCATGTGCAGGTGCGTGCGGCGCGGTGCGTGTAGCCTACATGCAAGCGTCCGCGTGCACGTGCCTGCGAGCGTGCATATGCGCGTGCGTCCAGGCGTCCACGTGCGTGCATACGTTGAGTGCTTTGTGTGGATATGTTTGTAATCGCACAGTTCGCTGTATACGCTCATGCGTGCGCACACATTGTAATGATATGCCCGCACGCAAGCACGCAAGACGGACGCACGTACGCACGCTCGTACCTACTTATACAGGCAGCAAGTACGTCAAGCACATGGTGAGACAACATTGAATTATAGTCAACATCATTCTAGTTATTACACAATGTTCTTCTTCACAGTTGCCATTGCGGTTGAACGATACAGATCATGTGCAGGACGGTCATAGGATAGCATGGTGTTCATTATACTGTCTTGTCGGTCCTGGACATCATCTGTATCCTTTAACGTAACTGTGCACTATATAAAATCACTCGTCAATCCTTTCTTTTTCATTACGATCTCTTTAAATACCTCTGGTCTGCAGTGTTTCATTGACGTCATTGCAGTAGTATGATGCTTACATATAACCTTTGTAATAGATTTACTTGTATATATGTGTAGCTAAATGTATATCGTATAATTGTCGTGCTACGATCAGCAGTCTTGTACGAGCAATAAAGGGAGCGATAGCTCGAGAGAAAATGTCTGCCGTCGCCTCAAATGTACACAAGTCCGCCGTACGTACGTACAGCGAACGTATACACCGTCCTACGTTTACACTGAGAATTATATTCAGTCAAGTTGGCATTTTTCTTGTTTCACCCACAGCGCGCGAGCCAAAGGCATTTTTCCATGTATTACATGCTGCCAGCGTGCCGCCTAAAGCAAAAACTTCGTCTACCCCTACGGTCGAGGGACACGGCCCTGATTGCTGTGTAACGCCGCAAAGTGTTACAGGCCAATAGAGCTACTAATTCCCCCACCACCGACGCAATACGGAGGAATGTAGCGGCTAGATATCACTAGACATCACTAGATATGACTAGCCGCTACGACTCGTTTATAGGTCACACAGCACTTAGCTAGACTCGGTTATAGGTCACACGAAGACGGCATCAGCTAGTTAGCAGTAGCCGCATCTGCGTCAACAAGTCCATTAGAAATCACTTAGAAATAGATTAGGGCCACTTAGAGACCGATTAGAGCGCCGAGATGCGCCCTGCCCATTAGGGGTCACTTAGGAGCGACGCATCGGCGTCTCACCCATTAGAGGTCAATTAGAAACAGATTAGAGTCACTTAGAAACAGATTAGACAATAACATCTATAGTGACTCATTTAGTCCTCTCGGTCGAAAACAACTCAACGCCCACGCGAATCGGTGTAGCACGTGCATAGGGCGTGTATGACGCCCTCGCGAATGTATATGGCGCGTGCGCGAGGCGTGAGCAACGCCTTTGTGAGTATGTACGACGTATGTGTCACGCATGCGCCGCGGGCGTGCCTGTGAGTATAAAAGCCAGAACGCGGGCAGAGACGAGAGATTAGGCTGCTCCTCGTCTGAACGTAGGTGTCAGACGAGGAGGGGGAATTAGACAGCTCCTCGTCCAAACGTAAGGGTCGGACGAGGAGGAGATTAGACAGCTCCTCGTCTGAACGCGGGTGTCAGACGAGGAGGAGAGGGGAATCTCCCGTCGACTGATGTTGCTGCTGCAGCTGCTGCTGCTGCTGCGACAACAGAACTGGTGCCCCTTGTCCGAACGTAAGGGTCGGACGAGGAGGAGATAGAGGAGGCTCTCGACAACCAGAAGCGACTGTGACTACATTTTGTAACACTGTAACTGTTCTGATCTTCAAGTAAAATACGAATCATGGTAAACATCTGACTTCCATTCTCATCTATATTCTTTGTCTATTCTCATCTATGTGCTTTGGCTTCACATACATTCTACTCAATAACCTAACACAGAGTAACGTTAAAACATCTGCGTTACATTTGGTGCCGTGAGAGTCGCTAGTTCCTGCTGGTTGTTGCGGGCATATCCCACGGTGCTTGCTACTATACGATCATTGTGCCGCTAGCATCGTGTCATCATCATCGTGTTTTCATCCACCGCTTGAGACAGACGATCTCATAACACCGCCGTACGATACGCCTGGTAAGTAAAGCTAACCTTTTGCCGGTTTAGACTTAAGAGATTAAGTTATTTACTATCGTATTACTGCTTCTCATTCATTACTGTCAAAGAGCTATTAGCTATTAAAGTGCCGGTGTCATTAGAGAGGTGCGCAGTTTGCACACATTAATTACACAGTCAGGGCCACAGGTCCAGTCGCCCTCGATCAATCAGTCAACTGTTTCATGGTGGCTCGACGATTACGGCCAAGCCATTACGGCCATACGGCCATAACGGACGAGGCGGCCATTACAACGCTTATGCGGACGCGCTTTCTCGGTTGCTTCTGACGCGCCTGCGTCCAAGTCACCTCATAACTCATCACTCGTCCCCACCACCTCACCACCGCTCGGCAGTATGGCCCCACAACCCATACACCAAGTGATACTGTCTTCACCCGACGTTGAGGCCTCACAACCCTCACGCCGAGTAGGCCTCACGCTCATTATGCTTCATCACGACCCTCATCACCCTAACGTCTTCACGACTTTGTGTCAGGCTCACAACCCTCACGCCGAGTAGGTTCCTTCACGCTTCATTTATGCTTATCACGACCCCTCATCACCCTAGAACGCACGACCACATCCACAAGGACAACCCTTCGTGTGGTCAGTACGAGGCACAGAACGCTTTCAGTCTCTTGTAAGTGTCTCACTAACTACCCTGGAATTGCTTCCGATATTATAAGATTTCATACAAGGCTTAGGAGAACCCAGTAACTCACCGCTACCTGTACTGCAGCGAGCAGATCTTGCGATTGCACGCGTGACACTAATAGGCACGCGCCGAAATAAAGCGCCCTTATG